AATAACTAAATTACATGCAAATGAAATTTTTAAAAACAACAATTGTCATTCTGATCCCCATCTCACCAAATGTTATGTCTTTATTGTTGCCATTGGCTTTCCTTGGCAATATAGTACACAATTGAGCTGGTCTGACTTACACAGCAATTAGATTAACAAAGTTTTACAGCACAACATTATAGGCAAAGCACCTCACAGGAAGCTGAGCAGTTTAAAGAAGACATGTGAGTGGAAGTCTATTGTTTCACAATTGTCCTGATTTACTAAATTAAATTAATTTTAGAGCATTATATTTTTCAGAAGTTCCTTCTCCCACTTCATTTCAATAAATGCCTCAGATATTATTATTTGATGGAGTCTCGAAATCTGCTTTATGAATTCTGTATTCTGTATTCTGGTGGAACAGCTACCATTTTATCATGTAAAAGTGCTGGTTAGACAAATGTAAGAGATTATTTAATCTAATGAATGTCAAATGAAATACAGACATATTTTTGGTCCAACTAGGATTATATACATAGACAGAAAAGACACTGGAAAATGGATTTCTAAGTTATAGCCTTGTTTTCTAGTCATTAAATGAACATTGTTATTTCCTTTCTCCTTTCAGAAAATCAACGTGGAACTCCTGTGTAAAATTAATATACTTTTTGTAAAGAAAAACAAACTTATTTTTCTTAAAGTTTGTTTGTCTGCTTGCTTGCTTTGGAGTGAGGATGCCACTTGGTATTTTATAGAACGGAGCTTTTCATGTTAATTATACATTTCAGTTTTAAAATGTCAGCATCTAGAGCTGTATAGATCTGTTTCCTTTCCTTTTTTCGTTTTACATTTTGCCCCATTTTCCACACTATTTTCTTTGGGCTCTCTGACAAAGAATGGCAAGGAGGCTGATCTCATTGTAAGTTTAAAAATATAATATTCATTGCTACTTTTATTCAAATATCCTTCTAGAATTTTTAATAAAAGTATCAGGACTAACTAGTGCCTCCTTGATCTACTGCTCTGCCTTTTACTTTTCCAGTAGTATTTGTAAGGAGCTCTGGAGAGGAAGTTTATGTATATTTAAGAACTCATGTATCACCACAATTCACCTGGTTTTGGGATGGCTTACAACAGAAACCAATGCTTAATCCACAATGCATAATACAAAAGTCAGGTGGTATTTCTCTCATCATTCTCTAAGCAACATTCAGAGCCACAGTGTATACTCACTTCTAGAAGGTTGTCAGATTGGACACAACCCTGGACTTGAAAGAGGAGGAAAACTATTCCAAAATATAATGGGTGCAGGCTGCAGTTGAAAAACATTGGCCCTTACCAGTTACAGAAGACCACTGACAGTGAGACTCATCAATCAAATGGACTCATCAATCAATTCAATGTGGAGAAGGGAAGACATGAACTGAGAAGTCTGTGGGGGTCTTATAGATGAAGAACAACCAGGATGATTAGGGGACTGGAAGCTAAAACATATGATTAATGGTTACAGGAACCGGGCATGGCGAGTCTAGTGAAGAGAAGGACCAGGGGAGACATGATAGCAGTCTTCCAATATTTGAGGGGCTGCCACAGAGAGGAAGGGGGTCAAGCTATTTTCTAAAGCGCCTGTAGGCCAGACAAGGAATAATGGATGGAAATTGAACAAGGAGAGATTTAACCTGGAAACAAGGAGAAACTTTCTGATGGTGAGAACAATCAACCAATGGAACAGCTTGCCCTCGGAAAGGGTGCCATCACTTGAGACTTTCAAGAAGAGATTGGACTGCCATTTGTCAGAATTGGTGTAGGGTCTCCCGCTTGGGTTCGGGGTTGGACTAGATAACCTATAAGGTCCCTTCCAACTCTGATTACCTGTTATGTTATGAAAACTAACATAGTGAATTGCACACATATCCTGTTGATAACCAATGCAGAGATTGCAGTCCAAATGTAATATGACTCTGCAGGTTTTATTCAGCTACTGGCCCACAATTTCTGTGCTGCAGTTTGAACCAGCTGTGGTTTCTGAACTGTGCTCAAAGATGGCAATAGTCTGCCAGATGTTAGTAAGAACATGATCTGCCTTTTTTAAAGTATGCATTTTATTAAAATGTACTCCCTCCAGAGAGGGGTTTTGTTTTCTTTGTGGTGTGTGTGTGTTTGTGTGTGTGTGTGTGTGTGTGTGTGTTTAAATGCTGAATTGAATAAGCTTCAGACTGGTCCACTATGTTTTTGTGTGTGTGTGTGTGTATTTTGAGCTTTCTCTGATCCTAATCCCTGGGTGTCCTTTTTTTTTTACAGTATTTAATATGGTTAGAAAGCCCAGATGCTTTTAGAAGAAGCTAAAGGCAAGAGGGGGGACTGACATACCACTATTGTTCAGATGAAAAGGGCTTATTTGCTTTTATTCCAAGCCCAAATGAAGTCTCTGGTTTGTATGTTCCAAGGAAACTTGTTGTTTCATGTAGAGAAGCCCAGATACAGCCAGGCTTGATTCAAAATAGACCCACTCCATTTTGAACGTTACACAGAGTCTCCGCAGATGTCACTACACAGACATTTTGAAAAATAAAGGGATTGCAAGCGATTACTGCATTAAGCCCTAATTAGTAAATTAAAGATAATGGCTTAGATGTGTGGTTAATGTTTTGTGTTCAGTTTTTTTTTCCTCCATGCTTGAACAACTGATAGTAAACACTTTCAAATATCTGCATCTCCCCCTTCTGATGTTTCTAGAGGTTTTCCATATAATTGCATTACCAAACCCAGTAACACAGTTAAGCTACAATTTGGAAGTTAAGGGAAATATTTGATGGTTTTTCACATACCTACTGTGGATGGGATCATTTAAAATTAATAATCTGGTGAAAGAAAATTTGTTTGATCATTTATCTTCTTTAACTTTCCCCTATCTTTTTTTTTTTATTCTAAGGAGCATAATTGTAGGAGAAGAGCAGGCAGACCTAAATGTGTCATCAGATTAGAATCTTTATGTTGTCACAAATATCCAAGTCCAACCTCTCCTGAATTCTGTTGACTTTTATTTGGCTCCAATTTAGTGTTAAATTTTAGCTGACTAGATTCTCTTATATAGGCTTGATATAAATTTTCTATGCTTCTACTTAATGGATTCTTTGCATCTGACATTTATAAGGTTTCCCTTAGAATGTACTTTCTGATGTTTCATTCAGAATCTAGAACCATGGTAGGAACTATTGTAGAAGGATCTGTATCTGGTCAGGAAAACAAATTCTAAAGTTATTTTTCTACAGCAAATCTCCTCCTATGATCTGTCCAACAGTCCACACATTACTAAATATAGCTTGTTGTCCAGGTAGAGTCTTCTTTTTGAAGCTTCTGAGATTAGAAAGTGAGAAATATCCATTTTATGTTCTAATTTCACAGTTCAGATGAACAACAACTGAGTAAATAGGAGCTCAGTTAAATTTTAAAAAATCTTATTCCGATATCTGATGAAGTAGAGATGCTTTAAATAATGCTTGACTTAGTTTTTTCTTTATATTTATATTTATTTATAGTTCTTATGCAGTTAATAAGAACTTCTGTGAAAAGTAGAAGTTCCTTTAGGGTGGACATATCAAATGAAGATAAATCATATTTAAAGGCAATAGTATTTCTTTGTAGCCCCTCCGTCAATATCCCAAAATTTAGTATCTTTACTAAAGAATCTATAAGTGATTGCCAAGTTGTTTAAAGAACTAGGAATAGAATTTTCTTTTTTTTTCTTTTTTTTGTACTATGGAAACTAGCTATATGAAAGTACAGTATAAGGCTTAGCTGGAAACAGAGAGGTAATAGGGTAGATAAGATTATAAAGATTTTACTCAAATCCAGCAGGATATCACTATCTTATCCAAATCCAACAAGCTATTACTTCCAACCTGGTATACCTGAAACTATGACTCTAAAAAGAATTGGGAATTTAATACTATACCATAGCTGTTGACCTAGTAGATTCCCTATCTCTCTGAAGATAGCAATCCAGCTTTTTTACCTTGGTTGAAAATTACATCAACAGGGAAGCCAAAATGCCTGAAGAATTATATTTAGGTAAAATCCTAAACATGCAGGAGAGTTTTACCATAGAGGTAACTCATGTTATGGCAGTGTCAAGTAGACTTGAAAGGAAACATGACTAGATGAGCTAATTCTACTTTATTGTGAAGTTGTATTAATAGAATCTTGAAAATCTGAAAGCACAATTCTCATCCCATCTCCGTTGCAGCCCAAGAAACCATGGAGGGTTTCTTCTGAGTTTCTTGCCCTGCCCAGTATGTAGGTGTGGATTATGTTGTCTCTTATCTCACTGTTCCCAGTCTCTTTTTCCCCAGTCTCCCAGGTCATTCTCACATACCATTACAGATGGTTGGGGTTTTTTTGCTTCCCAGCCCAAGATAAGGATATTATTTTGCAGACTGTGAGAAAGTCTTCTGTTCTTTTAATTTTATCAGAAAGGATGGGCCTTCACAGTGGACTTCAGACATGATAAATCCTTTATTGAACAAAGATGTGGTCTTTACTGCCCTCCAAAGGTAGCAAAAAACTGATATTTAAAAATATCAGTTCAGATCTTATATTGGGCCACTGAAAACCACTGAAAGTTTCTGTCCAAAAATTTACAACTTTTTTTTTCAAATGGAGAGAATGTTAATGAGTAAAATAAGCACTCATGCCTGCTCTATAGTTTTGAAAATTTTCCAAGTAATACAAAAATTTATGTTTTTGAGCAACTTATTAAAAATATGATATCCTGAGAATGCTAGATATTCTTAGATTATTGTTTCCAACCTAGGGAGACCATCCAATCTTGGTCATCCCAGTGAATAATTTATGAGGTGTCTTTATATTTCATTTGTATTATCGTCTTGGGAAAGAAACAAGCATCTTGTTTCAATGGTCTATTAAGCTTTTGTTAAGTGCTAAGTTTCTGAAATGCTGAGCTTGGAATAATCACAGAGAACTAATTTTGTCCTATTTGGTTCTTCTTCTTACTCTAGGAAACCGTTTGGAGTCGATAAGCAGAGTTACAGTGATGGACTTAAGGAACATTGACATCTCGGTTACAGAAAACTTGTGAACTTTCCAGAGGATTATAGTATTCCTGTTCACTTTTGTGGTGATCCTTTGAGAAGAAAGGGGAAAATTTGGGGAGTACTCTGGTGCCTATACATAAACCAAAAATGAAGGAAGATCATTGTTTACATGCTGCCCTTCTGTGTCTGGGAATGCTGTGCTGCAGCTTTGTTATGGCGACAGACAAACTGAACCACTCAAGGCCATCACTGCATGGTCATCACGAGAAAGGGAAGGAAGGGCAAGTTCTCCAGAGGTCAAAAAGAGGATGGGTATGGAACCAGTTCTTTGTAATAGAAGAATATACTGGACCGGATCCTGTACTAGTAGGCCGAGTAAGTTTTTTTTATATATTTTTTTTTTAAAAAACAACACGTGCATTTCTTTTTCTTCTTTCAGAACCCTAAAAAACATGTTTTGGTATGATTTGACTATCAATAAATCCTGTGTATTCTTCAAAGATGAATGATAAGAGCTCTGCAGGATCCAGTCTGGTCGGTTACTGGGACTGAAACCAGCATAAGCTTTCAAACTTGTGCTGGAGCCCATCTTCTATCTAGCTAGAAGAGAGGTTCCCTGAAGATAGATTCTAGTATGAGTCTAAGAACTTTGGAAGACAAAATCTCTGGTTCCAATGACCGACCCAGATTGGATCCTGCAGCATTATCCTGGGACACATATATTTGTCTTCATTTGGTAAGACCTCTCCTATCCAATTGAGATTATAACTGATTCGTTTAGCTGTAAATCCAGCCAAACAACAATCCAGCCTTTGGTATTTAAGGTTAATAGTTAGCTCTGTACGATGGTTAGAATGGTGGTACAACACCCAGATGAAAAGCTATGGCTGGTCATATGAAATAGAGATTCATTTATGCTTTCCAGAGCTTTTTGCAAGAAAGGTAGAAATTAAATTCTTAGGCAGAGGTGTGAATCATTTAAAATGTGCTCCATTAGCATTTAGCTTGTTCAGTTTGTTTAAAATGTTATTTGTCTAAGGAATTTAGTCAATGGACTCATACCTGGTTTGATTTCTTGGCCGTACTGATTATTTTCCCAGATATACTGTATATTCTCTTCCTTGTCTTTTCCTTGTCCTTTCTTTAATGGAGATGTCATAAGCTCAAGCAAGCTCTTCTCCATGCAAGGCATTCATTGTACCATAAAAATGTTTTGTGCCACATTCTAAGTAGAAATGAATAAGATATTGACTTTAATTGTAGCTTCTGAGCTTTGTTGCCTTATTTTTATAATCTGTACTGCTTTTTTTGTCTCTGATTATATGATGCTTTTATGTTCTGCATTCTAAAATAGTTTATACATTTAAATGAAGGACAGGAGGGACAAATTTAATATGTAGGACAATCACCAGATGTAAAATCAGATAATATATTTCAAGACTCATTTTCATTATCAAAGATGATTCTAATATTATTTTAACTAATTCCCAAACTAATACTATTGAATTTGATAATTATGGTGTATGGAATCCAAAATACCTTTTCAAATCCCCCAAATTTGGAATGTAATCATAAAGATTAGGCCTTTCAAAATGTAACTATTATTCAATTTTTACACTCCTCTGAATTTTGGAATACATTTTTTCCAATCAAAACATACACTGAATTTATATGTTCCCCTTAAGGAACATTGGATATAACATAGATGCTAGAATGTCAAATTGAAAAAGAAACCCAAACAATAAATTTGAGTAGATGTTATACCAGTGCTCATAATGACCACTGCCTTGTAAATGCTTCAAAACTATTAATGTTAATGATGTGTGTATATTTCCCAGCTCCACTTTTTCAGATTAACTGAGGATAGATCTATTTATTGCAATAAGAATTGACCAACCAATTTGTCATCTAAATTTGACATAACAGATTGAGATTAACTGGTCTAAAGTCATCCAGCCAACTTTCATGTTTAATCTAGGACTAGAATTCACAGTCTCCTGGTGATTGGCCCAAACTTACCCAGACAGCTTTCAGGCCTATAATGAGCCTCAAATTCACAGTCTCCTGTTGATTGGTCCAACCAAACTCACCCAGCCAGCTTTCAGGCCTAAAATGGGACTAGAACTCACAGTCTCCTTGCTTAATTCACCCCCAAATACTGCATGGATGCCATTACTAGGACTCAAGAGTATCTTTACAATATTAGCATAGTGTCTGAATAAGCAAGCTAAATATAACAAGGTGAATTCGATACTTTGGCTTAAACTTGGTCCAGAAATTAGGCAGGGTCAATAAATGCAGAACAATATAAGCAACACAGGACATTAAAAATGCATAGGCTTAAAGTAGAACAGAAAGCAATATGCAATGTATTTTTTTTAACTGCCAATGTCCCCAAAAACCCTTTCATTGCTCTAATTGTGATTACATGAACACAGAACTGCTAAATTAGGTATGAATCTTTGATGACACCTGCTATAATATATGTTTAAATCTCTGACATATTCGTTATTTGCCTGAGCCCCACTGTTGTTCGTAGAACAACTCCTATTCGAATGATCTAAAATCCCTTTTTCTAGAGAACATTGGAACAACTACTAAAATAGCCTGACATGGTGTGATAAATCAGACTGGCTGAATATTCTTCAAGCTTTAAATAGGATGAAGTGTAGGAAAGTAAAGATGGCCTTAATCTTACATACTGTCAATGGTGCTGAATGCCTTTACTGTGGTGGAAATTTAAGTGGCAGGATTCTGATTTCATTTCATGCATTAATTACTTTAATACTATTCGTTAAACTATCACAATGGGCATTAAGTAGCTATGAAATGAGAGATTAGTTGAAATCAATGGGTGGTTCCCTTTGTTATAGCTCCATAATGGGCAAATCTACCTTTTTTTTTTAAAAAAGTACACTTAATCAAAAAATCTGTAAATAGAAAATCTTCCCTAAGATATTCTGTGCCTCCTTTTACTCTTACAAAATAATACTCAGTTTTTCCTTTCATGTTCATTTTTTAAAAAAATCCAAACGCATTTTAAATCCACCCCCACAATATACTTTGGACCCATACATAAACTTTCTAAATTATATGAAAGTACTTTCTAGTTATATCCATCTTTATGTCTTTAGAGATTCAGTGTATAAGTTTGTGCAATAACAAACAATAAAATAACAAAATAAAATGAAGGGACATCTAAAACTTGTCCATTACTCTCTGATAAATGTTTAGTCTAAAAACAGTTTATTTAACCTCTTCCTTATAACAATTCACTAACATTTTCAAGGTAATCTAATGACTAAGAAATATTTTATAATAAATAATTTCCCAAAAATCTATCTTCTACTTTCTAATATATTTATTTGGGAAGTATATATGTGAGATGGGTATCAGTTTTTTAAAAAAAATATGCCATATTTTTATGTCATAGAATTTGAGCTTATTTTATTATTGTAAATTAATGAATCAATTAATGCTTTTAAATTTATTTTTTCTATTGTACACGTCCTTCCTGCTTTCTGAATTGAAAAGGAAGCCATCAAGAGATGAGTTCTCTAATGTTATTGTGTTGTTGTAAAGCACCCAGAGTCATTGAGGTGGGATGGCAATATAGAAATACATAAATAATGAATTTGAGTTGAAATGTAGAAAGCCAGAAGAGCTACGGACCACTAGAATAAGAATTATACAATCAACAGGCATCTTTATTATTACTGTAGGTTTCCATCCTTGGGAATTTAACGTTTCTTTCTCCTTCGTATCATAAAACTTGAAGAAGAATTTTTTGGCAAAATGTCAGAAAGACAGTCCTCAACTTATGACCAAAATTGAGCCCAACATTTCTGTTGCTGAGTGAAACATTTGTTAAGTGAATTTTACCCCATTTTGCGACCTTTCTTGCCACAGTTGTTAAGCGAATCACAGCAGTTATTAAGTTAGTAACATGGTTGCTAAGTGAATCTGGATTCTTAATTGACTTTGCTTGTAAGAAGGTCCCAAAAGGGGATCATGCGACCCCGGGATATTGCAACCGTCATAAATATGAGTGAGTTGCCGAGAGTCCAAATTTGTGACTGCTGGGATGCTGTAAGTGTGAAAAACAGTCTTAAGTCACCGTTGTAAGTTGACGACTACCTGTATTTGGCACAACAGTAGCCTTTGTTGCCTTTGGAGACTGTATGTGAATATGTTTTTTTTTTTCATTTTGCAGCTTCATTCAGATATTGATTCTGGTGATGGGAACATCAAATACATTCTCTCAGGTGAAGGAGCGGGCATTATTTTTGTTATAGATGACAAATCAGGGAACATCCACGCAACAAAGACACTGGATCGAGAAGAAAGAGCTCAATACACATTAACTGCCCAAGCTGTGGATCGAAATACAAACCGGCCCTTGGAACCACCCTCAGAATTCATTGTCAAAGTCCAAGATATCAATGACAACCCTCCTGAATTCCTTCATGAAAATTATCATGCCAATGTACCAGAGAGATCCAATGTAGGTAAGTAACACAAACGTGCAATATTATTCTAAATGGAGACAATAGGACAAGGATGGTAGGCACAATTATGCATTCCTTCTTAGGAATGGGGTGAGGTCAATAGTTGACAGTCTAAGGTTAAAGTTTTTGGGGTTTGGGGAAGAAACCACAGAGTCAGGTAGTGCATTCCAGGCATTGACCACTCTGTTGCTAAAGTTGTGCTTTCTGCAATCAAGTTTGGAGCGGTTAACATTGAGTTTGTATCTGTTGTGTGCTCTTGTATTGTTACAGTTGAAGCTGAAGTAGTCATTGACTGGTGGGACATTGTAGCAGATAATTTTGTGTACTACGCTTAAGTCCAACTGTAGGCAGCGTAGTTCATGGTTGTCCAAGCCCCAAATCCCAAGCCTGGTGATATAGGGTATTCTGTTGTGAGCAGAGGAGTGTAGTACTCTTCTCATGAAATACTTCTGGACTTTCTCAATTGTATTAATGTCCAATATACAGTGCGGATTCCAGACAGATGAGCTGTATTTGAGTATTGGCCTGGCAAAGGTTTTGTATGTACCTTGCCTTGGATGGCAAATCAATTGTGATAGGACTAGGCTCCATACCCCTTCAGACAATGCTAAGAATTCTCAAGCTGATAAAAGATTGCCCATCTAAATTGTTTGAGAGGAAACCTGAATGGATTTCTTCCTGATACATTAACACGTGCATGGATAACAATGTTTTTCCTTTTGATTGTAAGCAATCCGAAATGCTGCTACCTAGGTATAGATTGTTCATCTAAAGCCTTTTATTCATCGACAAAAATAAAATAAAATCCCATAATCTTTTAAAATATGAGAGTTGCTCATAAAAGCTATGCTGCAAAAGGAAGAACCAAGGGGGAGAGAAGAAAGAGGGTTGGGGGAACAAGCTAAGTTGTAGCTTTTATTGTGACCACCAGGGATGAAAACAATTCAGGTAGCATGATGTTGGCTAAGTGACAGTTGGAGAACATTTAAAGCAGCTGATTTTCAACAGTCTGGAAGAAACAGCTCTTCCATTTATGAGAAGCAAAACGCAGCTAACTGGATATTTAAACAAGTTTTGAAAAGTATGCTGAGCTTCAGGAATTCATTCCTGGACTTTATTAATTCATTCCTGGACTTTACTATTATCTCTCCTTTTTATTGGTGTCTGATCTCCAGGGAAGAAAGAAAAATTGAAGTATGGAGAAATCAGCAATTTTCCAAAATGCTAACCAACTGTTTCTCCTTCGACAAGTCTGGAGCAGACAAAGATGCTTTGGATCTGGTCTCTGCCCTCTCACTGTACTTGTAGCAATTAATGGATTAATATCCAAAAGCTTGCATGATAGCCACAGGAATTCAAATATATATTGCAGGGGTCCCCAAACTTGGCAACTTTAACTTCCAGAATTCTCCAGCCAGCAAAACTGGGAGTTGAAGTCCACAAAACTTAAAGCTGCCAAGTGTGGAGACCTCTGATATATTTTCTTGAGTTTGGATGCTGTTAAGGTAACAACACTAAGGGTTGTCAAGAGTTTTTAATCTCTTTAATGCCTCCTTCATTCAACTGTATATTTGATTCAAGCCCAGGAAAAGATTCCTTTAGAAGCTGCTCACATATACAAAACACACACACACACACACATACAACCTCAGATCAGATCAAAATAGGCTGGATCATGCCAAGGGTTAAAAAAAAGTTGCCTTAATTTTTTTTCCAATGGCATCTTCATTAGATGTATGCAACATTTGGTTCCAAAGCCAGCAAATGTGTTTTTGGATCCACACAGCAAACAAGATGCTATTGGGGGAATTTTTAATGGACTGTTTCTTAACCCCTGACCTTCTTTGGCCCATCTTCAAAATCAGTCTCTCTTATGCTGGCTTGTTCCCAACATAAAATTTGGTTTTTTTTCCACTTGGTTTTGGGGGAGAGTGATTCTGCTGACAATGTAACCGGCCTCATTTTCATTATTTTTTCCAGAATTCCATTGGTTGGAAAGAATTAGAACAACAGCTGTCCTTAATCCAATTCCACTTGTGATTTTTCTTAAATAATAGCCCTTACAGAAAGGAATCAACTTTTTTTATTCATAAAGAAAACAAGCAACACTTTTTTCCTGTGCATCTATACAACTTATGCAACAAATAACATCATAATTAGCTTGCCATAATTAGCTGGCCAATCTCAGCTACTATGGTCTATATTGTGCCAATAATCACTTTACATTTATGATATGTTCATCATGGAAGTGTTTTGGTATCTATTACAGTACTGGTTGACTAATGCTTTTACACAATACAAAATATCAAGCACAATTTTAAATGTCTTTTCCAGTCAAATAAACTCCCTTTCCAATAAAGTTATTTACCCATGAAACATGCATAAAAACATGCTGAACAGATCACTGCATATGCAACAAAGTTCACAGAGCTGGATAGCTTGTGGGGTAGTTTGTTATAGAAACCTTGTTCTTAGCATGTTGAATGAATTAAGCAATCATCTATTTCTTTTGATATGGCATATTATAGCAGAGAAAAGAGATGTGGCTGCTTTAAGATGCTGCAGGCAGGTGTCATATTCACACTCCCATGCATTCTAAAGCACTTTTAGAGATTGGATGCAAAGAGCTGTACAACCCTAAAATTGCACTCCAAAGCACTTTTAGAGATTGGATGCAAAGAGCTGTACAACCCTAAAATTAATACCCCAAATCATAATATTAACAAATTGCAAGGAAGGGTGGGTGGATGGAGAAAGGCATTTAGCAAATAGAATTAACTCGACTGTATACTCCAAAAAAGTAAATTGAACAGAGATCTGCGATAATCTGTACAGCTGTTGGATTGCCAATGGTGATTTGCTAGTAAAACCTCTTTTAAAGAAATGAAATGTGGATTTTCCAGGGTATACTTAGTAAAGATAGTAGTTTCTCCCTGTTCCGATTGAAAGGTGAAGTTGGCATTGTACTAATCTGAAATTTTGGAAGTGGGGAAAAACATATGTGTATCTAAATGTAAGTATATTCCCTTTTCTGTTTGCAGGTACATCTGTGATTCAGGTGACAGCCTCAGATGCTGATGATCCTACCTATGGAAATAGTGCGAAACTTGTTTACAGTATTCTTGAAGGCCAACCATATTTCTCTGTAGAGCCACAAACAGGTACTAAGCAACCATGTGCTAACTGAAAGGGAATTTTAGAATAGAAGTGAGAAGCCAGCAACTTTCCAAATTTATTCAATTTATATTACCACCCATTTTTACATACATGACTCTGTAATTCAATTGTTATTGGGCTACAGGTTCAAACTATGGTCATTGGCTGTAGTGGGTATGACTAATGACCCAAAAGAGATTAACAATAACACTAGTACTTAGACTTATATACAGCTTCATAGTGATTTACTGCCCTCTCCAAGTGGTTTACAGAGTCAGCATATTGCTTCCAATAATCTGGATCCTTGTCTTACCAACCTTGGAAGGATGGAAGGTTGAGTCAACATTGATCCAGTCAGGATCAAACTCCTGGCAGTCAGTAGAATTACCCTGCAAAACTGCATTCTAACCACTACACCATCACCAAGATTCCTTTACATGCCCCAAATATGATGATCAGAAGATAAACCACTGATTCTTTTTTTTTTTTTGGAGGGGGGGTGGGTTTCACAAAAACAAAATACAAATAAAACATCTTTTTTTTTTAAATAGCATGGTCCCAGGTTATCACTTCTTCATACAGACACAAAACTCAATTTCATGCTCATTTTTATATTCTATTCCATATTTTATTACTGTTTTATATTTTCTACATAGTTTTTCCCCTCTTTTAATTTTCTCAACTTTATTTTAATTATTTCATCTCAATTCAAATCATTATATTTATACTTTTGTCTGTCCTGTTTCAATTTCATATTATCTTTTCTCATTAAACAAATTTTCCCTGTAGTTACCAATTGGAGCATGACACCTTTATATCTTTTAATTTTATCCATTCAAACTCTTATTTAAGCTTCAATGTATACCTTTAAAATTATTGCATTCAATATAATACATAACTTCCAATCAAATTCTGCTTGGTACATTCTTAAAATACACACTATATTCTTAAAAAGAAAAGATTTTATATATATTTATATATATATATATATATATATACATATACATATACATACATACATACACACACACACACACACACACACATATACATATATACATATATACTTACACACACATTCCATTCCAATTCAATTCTATCATTAATATTAATTAAAATCTTGACATCTTTAACATTTTTTTTCAATTAAATATCATACTTCCTTGGGAACATTTATAAACTTTCCATAGTTAATTCTTCCCCCCCCCCCCCATATTTCTCACTTATATTTTTATAAATCATTAATAATAATTAAAATGTTCCCATTTAATTCTCTCATTCACTTTAATTCATTTATTTATTAACAAACATTCCACTACATTACAGTAAATATTTTATCCATCATTTTAATCATACATTGTTTCATATTTTCTAAAATTATTTCTATTTCTAATATAACAATACTATCTTATGTACCTTTGCAGAATCCCTTTTTCAATTAAATTTTCACCCATTATCTCTAAATAGGCTTATACTTTCAATCCTTATACATTTTCCCTGTTTCTCTATTTCTTGTTTCTGTCTTTTACAACTTCTTTTCCTTACCTTCTTCCCCCTCTTCTTCTCCCTCCCCCTTTTACCCCCTCGTCTCTCTACTTCTAACTCTCTCATCTGTAATCCCCTCTTCTGTTGCTTTCTAGTATTATACTTATCTTTCAAATTGTTCTTCTTCTTTTTGGTTGTTTTTTCTAATCTTAAACCTTTCACTCTTTTTACCCCCTTTCCTTTTTTTCCCCCCACTTAAAATTATTTGAAAATTACAGATGGCTTCTTCTTTGTCCCAATCTTCTTGTTCTGCAAGCATTTCTTGTTGTTTCTCATAGTACCAGATCTCCATTTCTAGGAATTGAAATACGAAGCCAAAAGAACCTCTCCCTTCTTGTGCATCTTCTTTCCATTTTTTAAATTCTATTTTCAGTTCTTCTAAGAGTGATACCATTTTAAAGCCTTTTAAACAACCACCCGGTTAATTTTAGTCATCTAGTTGCAAAAACCAAAAATCACCAAATAATCCAAATAATCCAAGGCTGTTTCTTCTTGCTTCTTTTTTCCACTTTCTCTTCCTGGGGTTCTATTATTTTGTTGCCAAGTTTCAGTTAAAATGTATCTTTGAGGAATCTTGTTAAAATTTCACTATAAGTTCCTTTTGGTTACAGTTCCATTCCTTAGTTCCAGGCAGTCTCCTCCATTTTTCCAGATCCTGCCCTTTTATTTATTTTTTTCTCTTTTCCTGCTTTTAAAAACTTTAAATATCCAGAAATCTTTATTATCCCTTTGACTTTTATTTTCAGCTTAGATGCCGATTAATGTCAAAGTGGATTTTTTTTCAATTTCTTGCTTAAGTCTCTTGGATGTCAGTATAAGGAAGGGAAGAAAAAGAAAAAATCTAATCCTTTCCCTTCTCTCTCTGCTTTGCAGCTTCAAAATCTTCTCTGGAAACAATGTTATTTAATTTAAATTCCAGGGTACCTTACATTGTTGCTTTTTCGGTTTAACCCAGTCAACCAAAACTTTCTCTTCTTATCTTCCTCCTGCACATTCTTTTCCGGTTCAGTTCTTCTTTGAGATGGCCATTTCTGACCACCGCTGAAACCGCCTTCAGGAAAGGGAGTAAGACCAGCTGGGGAAGAGAGATGTGGTTCTCCTCGACCCTGCTAGCAGTCTCCCCCTTCTTCACCACCTCTACTGGGTGGCTTAGCCCCGAAACCAGCTGGCTCGGGGCACTCTGGCAGCGAACACAGATCGAAACCGCGCACGATCGCGGATTTCGGTCTGTCACTGAAGAGACTCAAACAGGAAGCTTGATAAACCACTGATTCTAAATAACAATAGCAACAACAGGGAAAAACAAACTTTCTTTTTATATATATTTGGCAAATCCTGGAATCTCTAACTCAACCCCAAACAAACAGTTTCTTTTCCATTGTCAAATGCTCACAATAGTTCCAAGAGGCCTTAAGAACTTTTCACTGAAAGCATCAGTGTGTTTCTGTTTGACCTGTAATTTGCATTCAGGCCTTGGATTTATTTTAGAGAAAACAATGCCTTTGATTTTCTTGTTTGATTTAAAGCAGGGCTGTCAAACTCCTGGCCTGCAGGCCAGATGTGTCATGTGCTGGCCATGCCCGGTTTAGCAAAGGGGGGAAAAGTCCCAATATGTCACATGGCAACATGAGTTTGACACCCCTGATTTAAAGTAAATGTACCTTCTGCATATGAGAAGAATTTGACACTTTTTTCAAACTATAAATAATCTCGAATGGAAATTTTACCCATCATCATATATAGTATGTGATTAGATAAAGGTTAAATTTTGTTATCAACAGCTGGGCCCCATATAATGCATATCCAAGAAGTGGCTTCCCAAACTAAGCAGTAAGTTTGTTAGTCTTCTGTGTTAGTTTATCAAGATCTGTGTTGTGCTTACACTCACTAATATTCTTTCCTGTTTCTGTTGTCTTCATTAAAACTTTTTAATGTTTTTCCTCATGCATTTCAAAAAGTATTTAGGAAAGTAGGGACAAGCCTTAGAATAGAATAGAATAGAATAGAATAGAATAGAATAGAATAGCATA